TTTGTTTTTCATTCTTCTGTTGTTTTTGTTGTTGTTGTGACTGTAAGTTGTAATTAATGGTGATGGGGTAGTGTTGGTGTGAATGTCGAAGCTGACTATGTTTCTGTCGTCCTTTTTCTTTTCTTTTTTGTTTCGTGGAGAGAATGGATACAGGCAGCTGTAATTATTATGGATGTTAGGAGTTGTTGATTCTCACGATGGTTTTGATGTTGTTGCGGTTTCTGTGAATTGTTTTTTCTTCTGGGTTTTTTTATTGCTGATGTAGTAAGCTGTTGTTGAAAACCATGGAGAAAGTCGTAGTCGATTTTGTTTGTGTTTCTATTGTTGTAACTTGGGGATGGGGGGTGCAATTTTAGTTTATAGATGAAAGTGATCGTTGATTATGGTGGCGTAAGTTTTCTTTTTGCTGTTTTTGTTATTGTTATTAGTTATTGTTCGTGTGTGTGTGTGTGTGTGTGTGTGTGTGTGTGTGTGTGTGTGTGTGTGTGTGTGTGTGTTTCTACTCTTTTATACTCTGTACAGTTGTATATAAGTGGTAACTGATGATGGTGTTGTCGTGGCTGACTGTTGTTGTGGACGTTGTTCATGTTTCTGTTGTCTAATTGCTGCTGTTATTTCTACATTACCAGGTCATAACTCTACATTCTAAGTGTTGTTGATGATGATGGTGGTGTCAATGTTGCTGATGTGGGTGAAGTTTGAGCGCCTCTTGTTTAATTGCCGCAGCTGCTGCTGTTGTGTAAGCCAAAGTGGTTGCTTGCGATTTTAATGACGATGGATTTTTTTCTGTTGTTGTCAATGGTGTTAATTCGGCTGTTGTTAGTTCTGGTAAATCCGCCATATGATTATGTATTCCTTTATTGCTTGGGTTGCTGCTGATGTTATAAATTAATCACTTTTGTGTCCCAAACCCGTTGTTAAAAAGACAAGGGTAGATAACTCAAGAAATCGGTTTTCACAAGCTATGTTTGTCATAAGTGCATTCCCCTGGCTATCGTCAGCGCGACCGGGTAAACATGCCACTGACTCCCACTCCTTCTGTCTTCACTTCTCAGGTACCGTATACTCTCTGCAGTTTCTACTGCCATGAAATTGGAATTGGATCATAGTAAAACTTTTACCAGTACACGTACTTATAATAGCCACGCCTTATTTGAGCCCCACATTCATCACCATTTAATTAAAAGTTAAGTTAAAGTGCTTATTTCATAGGGCCTCAGTCATGTGTACTGTACCCCCTATCAGCTCACACTTCTCAAAAACTCCTTCTGCCAGTCTGTTCATTCCATATTACAATACACCGATTCAGTCTCCTGGTGAACATGTTGCGGGCTGCCTGTTTCGCACTTTCAGCTCATGGTCACATTCTCTGTCTCCTTCGATTGCCTGCCCATTTAAATTTAAAGTAACCTTCCAGGCGATAAAACATCTTGCTAGAATTAGCAAGAATCGGACTCACAACTTTTTTAATTGCAAGTCCGACATCTTACCATTGAACTAGGCCTCCCCTACTGGAACTTTTGGATGCTGCATCAAAGGCAAGCGCTCCCAATGGTGACCCAAAATCAGCAGACTAGGTCATGGGTGATGGAAAGGGTGAGGGGGTATACTTTATTCAATTTCCATTATTTGCGTCCTGGATGCATCATACAAACCTGTAATAGACAATCCGCTTAAACATTGCTGCAGTGCCAAAGCGCCACAATAATAATATAACACCACTATCCCAGCAGGTTGTATTGAAAGTGACGTAAAACTAAACAACCTATAGTGTGTTGAAGGGGATGTAAAACTAAACAACCTTTTAGTGAGTTGAAAGTGAAAGTAACGTAAAACAGAACAACCTACAGTATAGTGTGTTGAAAGTAACGTAAAACTAAACTCATCCCAGCAACATCTGAAATTATCTTTACTGTGTTGGGATTAGTTATAGTTTTCGTAAAAGTTTTACGGCACTTGAAACACAATTCAATAAGGTCATAAAAGTGCTGAATATTATAGGAGATGTTACAAGAGAGTAACAAACGTAAAAAAGAAGGAGGGGAGATAGAGACATTAAGATTTTTTATAGGAAAGAACGAGCAAACCCCACCAGGGCACCCGCCAACCACACATTGTGTTGGGATTGTTGAAAAAAACTTTTTGTGTAGGGAGTTCTTCACCCTGCCCAACACAGTAAATTATTGCAGACGGCCACATTGGGGGTTTTTTTAAGGATAAGAAAGAAACCAGGTGCTCAATTTGTAAGATTTTTTTCAGCACTTGCAGCAAAGTAAGGCCATATGTGTCACGGCGTGCCGGAATCAGGCGCTCGTCAGTTTTTGGGTAAATAGAGTTATTGGTATCATCTTAAAGACTGCTCATTTGCCTTGCATATGATGAAAAAAATAACCATTTATCTTGAAAAAGAAGTCAAGATATTTGCCATTGAAGGAGATGGGGCGGCCTGGTTTCAGAAGTAAAATTGAAGAGAAAATGGCCGCCAAAGTTTGGGGAATTCCACAGCTGAAGAGTCCCTGGGAACTGCAAATTTACCTTTTTCTTGCCTTTAATGAACGTTTTTTTCCATAAAATCCCCACATAAGAATGTTTTTGAACGGACATACAAGGTGCTGAGCCAAAGAAAAACAAAATTCCGAAAAAAAATTCCTGTCTGGCTGAAAAATGCAGATTTCTTCGATTTTATTTTATAATTTTGACGAGCGCCCAATTTCACCACAATGTCTCACATATAAGTACCAAAGATTAGAAGTGTTAAAAGAGAGTAACAAACACATAGAAGAAAGAGAGATAAGGACGATATACGAATGATAGGAAAGAAGAAGCGAACTACACCAGAGCACCTACAAACCACCCATGAGCTGTTTCTACCCTCATTCAATCTTAAGTCAGATCCCACATAATGTATATCACCCCAACGTTCTGAAAGTACAGTATGTTAACCTCATAGGATTAAATGGAAGGGCCTAAATACTCAATACAACTTTGGTTCAGAAAATTTTCAATCGGAATTCGAACCCATATCTTCAGTAACTTAGTCAAGTCCAATTGGTTATAATACCCTGTCCGCACAAAGATAACCACATAGAAGTAGAAGTCAGAAAAACACAATACCCAACACAGAAATGACAACTTCCTGTAATTCTAGACACAAAAAACAAAAACAAAACAACATGAAGCAAATAGTTGAGAAGTATTTTATGATTCTTCAGAAAATATGGAACATGAACATCATTTAGTTTGTCAAGAAAACAGATTCAGGAGTAAGTTCAGTATCGCATTGCCGAGGACGCCTGGGCAATTGCCAGAGCACATTTTGTTGTCCTTTCTGCATTGACAAACAGCTGATGGTCTGTCTTTAGGTAACCCGAGATATGCAATACATTGTCATCATTGCTGACGATTTTAGAGTTTAAAAAAAAAAAAAATCTGCCATAAAAATAACATTCCATTACGCATACTGTCAAACTAATATTTTTTTTAAAATATAATTATTCAACACAAGAAAGCTACTCCAAACTGGGAAAATCTAGGAAGCGATATAATATAAACACATAGATAGACTCAAATAAGGCTTCTGAAACAGTAGGGCTCTACTACCCCAATACAGGGAGAAAAATCAACGACAACGTAGTCAAAGACACTCAAGCGTACCTCCATCAAATACACATTGCTAAAATTCCCCTCAAGTGTTCAAACACACATATCACTACACCTCTAAACAAAACAAGGTTAGCAAATATGCACAATAAAATTTGCAACTCACAAAATTCATTTTGTAAATTCAGTCACTGAATATTACTAATGACAACTGCTAGATTACACGAGTGGCATCGTGGTGAAATCAGGCGCTTGTCAAAAAAATTTGCACCAAATTTTTCCTTAAAACTCACACTATTACAGGAGGGGCAAGACAAAAACAAATGTCATGCACCAGAGCACAGCCAGAAGAGAAAAAACCATTGACCAACTGAAAACAAACACCTTAATACAGACGGATATCTTCACTGGAATTGATATTAGTCGGTCAATTCACACAATATTTCTACAGACTCAACATCTATTCATATCTCTGCAACTTGAGCCTAGATAAGTGTCAGGACCTAGGGGGAGAGAGTATTTCTCTGCAAATAAAATATAGACAGGAATGGTAAACCCCACAGGAACCCATCAGAACCCTGCACTCAATTATTATTTCAGACCAACAAAAAAAGAAAATTTAAGCACTTTTGAAAATCTTTTCAAACTATAAACCAGTGTGGTCATTATATATTCAAAACCATACTGGTATAACAACCCCACCAAAGCAGAGGAGGAAACTTTTGCTCAGCATTCATCCAGCCCTCAGTTCTCATTGTTTACCACAATCACCACCTGGGAAACAGTACATACTCGGGGAAAAAAAATTATCTACAACATAGTAAACGCGGTGGTCATAATACCTCTGAGCAATGGGGTAAAAAAAAAAACAGAGACAGAAAACATAACAAAGATAAATAGAGAGGGATATCAATTTTTTTTTAAAAAGGGGAAAGAAATCAAAATTCTTAATAAATTAAAGTAGAAAAATTTTAGAGTGAGTATCAGTGGAAAAAGAGAGAGAGAGTAGGCATCACAAGCATTCTTTGCTTTGAGGTGTCCACAGTCACAGAAAAAACCATTCACAACTCGGTAGTGTCAAACTATATTTCCATACAAAAGAAGCCACTGTAATGTAACTGTGGCAAAAAAGGTTGGAACGACAAACTCATCATGTGCATAAAAAATAATTAATTAGACTTCATTAGCTGCAAAAATTAAATAAAAACATTCAAAGCTACAAGAAATTCTAAATGCTGAGACGGAAAGTTGAAAATAGACCTATCAGCTATACAATTCCACGATGAGATTGAGGAATAATTTGTGAAATAAAAAAAAAACAACTAAGAAAATAGAAAAATCTGCTGAATCAAACCACACTTCGAGAGCATCTTCTAAAGCTTACAAGGTTGCCTACTTCACTGTTACTTTACATTGTGATACGATGATCTACAACCCTGCTTCAGAAATTGTTTTAAAAAATGGTGAATTTACTGCTGCTTTTTCTCATTTCAGACCACCCATGACTTCATCACAGCAGAGCCAGGCAAACACATCTATGAACGGAGACAAAAAATCATATTTGCCTAGAAAGCGATTCACATAATCTGATTGTGGCAAAACACTTGAAGAAATTTACTTCATTACTCTCGCGCCAGCAAAGGTGTTTTAAAATTCTGTGAAATGGGAATTTTGTTCTTGTGAGACGAAAAAGGCTCTAAAGCCACAAGAAAACCCAAGGACTTAAAACGATGCTTTTACAAGGTCTGCAGAACTTGTTCATAAATCTCTGCTTTAGTATTTCAATGAGCTTCATAACGGCAATAATGTAATTGCATCTTCATCAGTAGAGCAAAAACGTCCACTTAAAGTGTTAGTACTTGCCAAAATCAGTTACAAAGATGTGCATCTAACCAAAAGCTTTCAATGAATGCTTTAGCGATTGATATCAGATGCTGAAAGCATTACACAGAGATATAAAAGTCTTCGTCTGTCTGACCAAAAAAAGCATCAAACTCAAAACATATTCAAACAACATCTAATTAGAATAAATTAAAGCACATTTTGATCAGTCCTACCTCCCCTCCCCCCCAACACACCCCAGTTAACTTATCCCAGGAGGCAAAAACAAACATGAGTTAAACAATCATCTTGGCAGAATGAGAAGGCTGCTCTGACATCACAGGAGATTGCCGACGTCTGTCTCTCCTCAGCTTAGTTCCCTTTCTTGTCTCCTTCCCCCTCCACTGAAGCAAGCTTGTTCTGTTGGGAAACAGATAAGACAAGATAAGATACATCTTTATTGTCCAGATCCTGGCACATTGGTTTGGTGTTCCATCACGTGTACACACACACACACATACATACACACACGCACACATGCGCACACACACGTAGGCTTACAATCACATGCATAATATAAATGAGCAGCAATATAAACAATAATAATCGTAAGCTAGATACACACTCAATGTTATTTTGATGCATGCTCTAAGGTCGTAAGTATACTTATACAAGATGGTTAAGATGGAAGCATTTTGATAGATGATGGTAAAAATGACCTTCTGTATCTTTCTTTGTTACAGATCAGAAGCCTAGGTCTTTTACTTCTGACTGATGTTTTTATTTGAGGGAACAAGGGATGTTTGTTGTCTAAAAAGATGGAATTGATTTTTTTTAGTGCAAGCTGTTGTATACAATTCATCCAAGTAGGGGAATGAAGATGTTGAAATTTTACATGCTTTCCGTATTAGTCGATTTAATTTTTCTTTATCTTGTTGTCTTGTGTACCCGGCCCATGCTGTTATGCAAAAATTTAACATACTTTCTATGGTTGAATGGTAGAACATGGACATCAATGTTTTATCAACTTTAAAATACTTTAGTTTCCTTAGAAAAAAATAGTCTTTTGTTCTGTTTTTTATGTAGGAGAGAAGTGTGGACACACCAGTTGAGTTTGTTGTCTATTGTAACACCCAGATACTTATAGTCTGACACTTGCTCGATGTTTTCACATTTAATTTCGAGTGGCTGCAGGGGCAGTTTCTTTATTCTAAAATCAACAACAAGTTCTTTTGGTTTTTTTCACATTTAAAAGCAGAGAGAGTGAAGGTGGTTCTAGACACTGCACAGTAAGTAACACCACAGGGAAATCTTTGACGCTTGAGATTACTGTGTCTCGTTCTCATTACCATCCACAAATATGGTCTTGAACATTCATATCTTTTCTTCAGCATCAACAAACCTTTGTGAAACAATACTAGAAAACAGAATAAGTATTTTCCTATATATATGAAAACTGACCTCCATGCTCAGACCTTCAAAAATGTATTAAATACATTTTTCATGTCCTAGTTGGTAGTTGTGTATTCAAGTTACCATCCCCACCAAGAAAAGAAGCAAAGAGAAAAGGGGGGAAAGTATGCCCCAACCTGCCCTCACCACCAATCAATTACCACGCCAGCCCCTCCAGCTCACCAACCATTTAATTCATACAAGGACCAACCAATGCCCTGACCCACCTGCCCCATATCCCTATCCCATCAACAATTCAACCCACATGCGGCCCAACAGATACCCTAATCCACCTGCCCCACATCCCCATACCACCAATTATTCAACCCACCAACCATCCAACCCACAGGAGGACCAACCAGCAAACGTCCTAACCCACCACCCCCACACCCCCCCCCATCCTATTAACCCACTCAACCCACCAACAATCCAGCCCACATGATGACCCACCACCAACCACCCTAACCCACCACCCCAATCCTGTTAACCCACTCAACCCACCAACCATCCAACTCACATGATGACCCACCACCATCCTAACCCCCCATTCCCACCAGCCCGCCAACCCACCTGCAGCTTCTCATGCTCCAGCAGCAGTCTGTCGTACTCCTTGTTGGTGCTCTCCGCCTGTTTCTTCATCGACTCAAAGTCCACCTGCGCCTTGTACAGCTCTTCCTTCGTCTTCTCCAGCTCTGTCTGGGTGCGGGCCAGGTCTTTCTCCACCACCGTCTGGTCCGACTTGCCACCCTTCTCATCTCCCTTCTCCGCCGCTGAATTCTATAGGGAGAAAAAAGATTACAAGGAAATGAATTCGGACAAATGTGTCAGTTAAAAGAAAGTTTCGGGGGAAAAGCAGAGAAGAAAGTTGATGCGGCAAGTCATTCGGTTATAGTTTTAGAAAGAGTTTTTTTGTGCTTGCAACACAAATAGGATAGATAACTGCCTCACAAACAAACACAAGAAAAAGCACCAACAAAAAGTTCCAAAGGAGCAGAACCAAAAATCAAAGCATGAAAACTACAACTTTAACAGAGTATTACCTAAAACAAAAAGACAAAACCCACAACTCAATCCCTTATGCCTCAAACATGACGACCATAACCCTGACCTTCTTGTTATCATCGGTGAGACTTTTCTCCTCAATCAGCAGCTGAGCTGCAGCCGTGGCGCTCTGGGCCTGCTTGATGCTGGCCTCACTCTGGGCCATCAGCGTGGCCTCGTTAGCGATCAGAATCACCAGGCGACGCAAGATGCTGAGGACAGAGGAAAGAAAAACTCAACATCCATAGAGCACATCCATGTAAACTCAATGCCTATGTAATCTCAACATCCATGTTAACTATAACCTCCACAGTTCACAACATCTGTGTAAGCTCAATGTCAGTGTAAACTGAACGTTTGAGCAACTCAATGCCTATTAAACTTAACCTCCCTGAAACTCAACATCTGTGCACCTATTTCAGTTGGGCAGAGGTCCTGACTGTACTCCCATATTGTAATAGCAACAGCAATGTTTTACGCTTTCATCAACATGATTTAGATCATTACCAGGCAGGCTGGCTACCCGTCAGGTGGCTGAGTGGGACACAACATCCAAGAAGACATACGAAGATACTCAATAATTAAAATTCCACATTCAGGTGGAAAAAAAACGCACATTTTCTACTCCATCACAGATACCGGTCTATATAGTAATAAAACTGGAGTGAGTTTCCCAATGATCAGACCGTAGATCAACAGAAAAAAAAAGTTTTTAAACTCTTTAAACCCCATCGGACGCTCCCGCGGTAATAACCCTGTTCTCCTTCGGACGCTGGGAGCGTCTGATACTAGTGACAGTTTCGTTTCATTAGTGCTAGCGTTTGATTGTTTTTCGGAACTATTCCCGAATCAAGTTCTTTAATAATGATTAAACCTTTGTTTCCGCCATTTAGAAGCTGGAGGCAAGCTTTTGGGGTTAGTTAGGTGACTTTAGAAAAAAAACTCAGGGAAATGGTGGAAAAACTCAGGGTTTAAAGAGCTAAAAAAGTAGAAGAAAAAATATCCACTATTTTATGTCACAGGTTTCATTTTTTTTCTCCTACAATGGACAACTGTGAACAACAGCCTGGCATATATGGAGGTTTAGATGGTGAGTAACAGCAACCACAGTTGGAAGTGAAAGTACATCAAGAGTATGGCGACAGACAGATAACCAATAACAAAAATTAGAATTCGGATTGTATATCGAAGTACAGTACATTTCCTCTTGGGTAACTTTTAATTGCAATAAAAAAGTTTCTAAAAAGCAAATTTTAGTGCCCCCCCTACTCCTCCCCCAAGTCTTCATGCATCATGATGATCACTGCACACAGTTCCCTGTTCCTGTAAAGGAGAACAGCCCCCCTACAAAAACCCAAGATGCGGAGCAACAGGTAAGAATTTCAAACCGAGGAGGCCAGCTTTGCCCATACTCAAATTTCATATTTCAACATATTATTCATAAATGCTGCCCTCGGTACATACAATGAGAATTTTAGAGTTAGAGGAAATTGTCATGTCATGGAAGAAGCCGGACACATTAAAAAAACAGCGACATGTAAAGAGGGAGGAAATAACAGCAAGAACTCCTCTTGCCCTTTTCTGATAGACTTCTTCATAATAGAAATAATAGTGTCAGAGATAGAATTTGAAAATGTCGGGGGAAAATGACACTAGTCAAACAAAAAATACAGTGGAGTCCGCTTAACCAGAATCAGACGGACTGCTGGATTATCTTCAGTCTGTCCAGATTTTTCATTTCAGAGAGGTTGCTCAAATAGAAAGAAAAAATAAATCTGGGATTTTACTTTGTATCATTTTCCCACCATATTCAGATTAATCATGTTCATTTTACGCAGACTCCACTGTATTGAGGACTCCAGCCTTCACTTCACTTGAGCATGTGGACAATGGTCATCTCTTTCCCTATACATCTGTTTTACATGAGTCACCAATACATGACTCTCAGAACGTTTTGATATCTCCTCTACTTTTTCTCAAACTGGACCCCCAGTAGACAGATCACTTGGACACACAATAAAATAAGCAAGCATAAAAAGATGCTATGACTACGGAAAATACTATGAAAATACAGCTGATTTCTATCAAATAACTGGAAGCACTGAAAACACAACACAACAGGCGTGACTAGACTGGAAAACAACAGACGCATGAGGTCATACAGACCTATCTATACATGGTGCAGTGAATATTCCACACAACAGCAAATTTGTCACAAAGCCTGAGCAAGATAATGTTATTAAGTGCTGATTAAATACAATGGTACATATCATTGTTAGTGCTATATGTGAGCGTGCTTGGTGAAAGGTACCAAAAGACGCATATCTTCGAACCGAGATATCAGGCTTCAAAGGTCAAAAATAGAGTTTTTGACCAAAATTAAGTTCCATTAAAAATAGATTCTTTAGCCATTAATAAGGATTTGAGTTTCTTTCACTTTAAAATACATTTTTAAAGATGTATTTTAAAATGAAGTATATTGCATAATCAATTAATCCCAAAAAATGCCTGAGAAAATTGGCTTTCGAGTAAACACTGCGGATGATTTCTCTTGTCCATTCATAAAGTCGATCCAATCACAATGCACACCCAAATTTACATCCTTCTCTCTCTTCTCTAAAGGCGGGTAGTGGGCACGAATATCTAGAACATGTAAACAAAGTGAAGCTTTGCCCATCCACACCCTTTCATTTTTCTGGAGAACAAAAACTTGTATTGCCTTTTTCTGCCCTGCGCAAACCTAGATTTAATTTCTTGAAAATTCTTGCTCAAGGTGGTAGTGAATTTGTTTTGAAAACGTAACATAAACACTCTGAAGCTGTTCTTTATCTTAGCTGCTTTTTAAAGTTGGTTTGTCAGTAGCCAATAATATGTTGTCAGGTCGTCTTGAAGTGTAGATCTATCTAATTGAAGCAGAAATAAAGGGGAAACCTTAAAGCCGTTTTTCTCAAAACTTTGTTTCCGTACCCTGTCTTAAAAAAATCACCCAAATCTCAAAAACTGCTGAAGATATCTTAAAAATTCAACAAGCATATTGTTTAGAAATGACATCTGAACATGAAAATGAAAAAAAAAAACCCTGATTCTTCAAAATGCGTCATTTGGTACCTTTCACCAGGCACACACACATTTACTAAAAGTTGGTATGAATCACTTTTCGAATGCTCATCTTCTAAAGGCTCCCCTTATAAGATCGTAAGACTTCATTTATTTTCCTAACACTCCGCATTCTTTCATAAAGTTAACACTTAATCTCATCAGCCTCCATTCAATTCATTAATAACGAACAGCTTCTGAACTGCACAGTACAATAAGGCTTTCAGGACGACATGATTGAAAACAATGATGCTTCTTCTTTTCCAAGAAAACGGAAATCACAACAAAGAAACAACATAAACTAACAAGTTCCTGATAAGAAAACTGGTCACTAGGAGAAAAACATTGCAATATTTCCCCTTTCCACTTTCGAAAGCCTTTTCTTAGAAATTTCCACTCACCAATGAAAAATCTTTATTTACGAACATACTGTCCATGGATTACAATACACATACATAATACTTGACAATTTGAAAAAAAAAATTCAAAAAAGGAAGTCATCCAGGCCTACATAAAAAATCTTGTGAAATTAGATTCAACATTACACCAATTAGAATTGCTCTTGGAGTCTGCAATCTGTTGTTGACTGACAGAAACTAACAAACACAAGAACGCCGCAAACAGCCACCAGAATAGCTTTTTCAATTTCTTTACTAATTTAAGTTGTTGTTGTTGTTGTTGTTAGCGATCCAGTAGCATCTGAGTGTTAACTCTTCTGCATGATGCCATTCGGTAATAGCTGCATGTCTGTTTTAATTGTTGTCTTGAGGAGTAGAGGCAATTAGATGTGTGGGGTAGCTTGGGAAGAAAACATCCCCTTAAATCAGTTAGTTTTCTACAGAAGAACAGATGATGTTCTACGGTCTCTGAGGGGTTTTCACATAGTGGGCTGATTTAAGTAAATTGATAAAAAACTTCGGACAAACTCTCTTTATTACACTTAACAAATGATTACACCAGTTGTGAACTGCTAGTATAGGCAAAGCCGTTCTCAAGTTCAGTATCGCCGACGGGGTGGGGGGGGGTGTGATGACGAGGGTCAGACATCACAAAAAAACCTGCATATGTTGCCATAACTAACGGGAGCAAGTGACTAAAAGAGAAAGAAAAAACTTCCCACAATATACAGGGCCCTTACGTGATGCACGGAAAAAAACTTTTTTAAGGGCGAGGGGATTAGGGCCTTGGGGTATTCTTGCAAAGTTAACTTCGATATAATTATTTTGTTTAAGTCTTTATATTATATCAAAACATGAGCTCAAAGCAGTAGTAGTACCATCAATCATTTCATGGGCTATGACAATTGAAAAAATTGTACAAATCTGTAATGGGTCCACTAAAAATGACATTAGCCTATTTCCCGAAAAACTGCATTGGGAAGTGGATCTATTTTCAAACACCAACAACAATATCTATATACAGTCGAACCTGTGTAAAACGGCCACCCATTGTCAAGGAGAAAAGTGGCCGTATAAGACAGGTGGCCGTCTTAGGCAGGACTGATGAAGATGAAGAAAACAAACCATTCCTTTCTGAGGTCTCAACAGAAGGTAGTCGCATGGTTTTTGTTGTTATTTTTGTTGTTGTTGTTTTCGCTGGGGTTTTTTTTTTCTTTTGTTGCTGCTTTTGTGCAAGGGTGACAATAAAACGAAATGTTTCAGACAAGGAGGCCCGAGTGCTATGGTAAAACAAACACCACTTGAGAATGAGCGACACTTCTGTCACAAGTTCATGCTGACAACCATTGTTACTTTGTTACAGACTGGGTAAACAGTGACCACTCATCTCACTTACGATTTGTGCATGAGTTCTGGGCGGGGCTTATGGGTTATGAGGGATCACACGCTTCCCTCACCTGCAGCTGAAAATTAATTTTGTTACCTATTGGTCAACAGCGGGAGGGGCCTACGCAAAATGATCGGTTGGAGGGACTACCCTAGATTATGACGGCTGGCCCACAACGCCAGGGACCAATGCAGGAATTATGACATTGACAAAGCGTAATGGAGTCACGAAGGTGGCCGTCTAAGACAGGTGTTATTGCTTAGTGTGATAGGGGTCGTGTGTTAAAATAAGGTGGCCGTGGCCACGTTGGACAGGTGGCCGTTTTACACAGTTAAATTATATAGAAAAAACGCAAGTGGGGAAATGGAAAATGTCCGTTTGTACAGGTGGCCGTCTTATAGAGGTGGCCGTCAGGGCAGGTTCGACTGTACCCCAACTGGCTTCTTAACAAAAGAAACAAAAAATAACTACTTTAATTACACACAGAAAGGTGACTTTTAAAGATTAAAGAAAAAAAAACAACTGGCGGAGCACACAAAGATACAAGATCTGCATAGAAGCAAATTTTTTTAAAACTCAACGGAGTTAATGCATAAATACAAGTGAGGGTGTTTCAAACTCACACCATAATGCAGATTATTAATAAGAGACAAATAATACCTCTAATAAGGTCCCAAGATTTGACAAGTTTCAGTTGACCTATTTTCTTTGTGAGCTCTGACTGAAATGAGGAAGCACGAAAGTAACTTACAACCAAAGAAACAAAGCAAATCCGGCAATGTACATGTTGCGCTGAGCACGAAACAACTTCATGTGGAAAACAGTCTCGGCCTCTGGGTAACGCCTCAACTCCTCGCTATCCATAGGCTCAGAGTATTTCAGGGTCTCCCGCACAGACTCTGGGGCCCGGGAGAGGGAGGAAAAGAAGAGGGAGGAAAAGAGAGATTACACAAGAGGCTGCATGCGCTAGGGAACTATATGCCACAGCCGGCAGGCCCGCACCATCAAAATTGTCAATCTTTTAACACAGTTAACCCTTTCGTCGCCAGACCCACTTCACAACATTAACAAAGCGCTTATACAGTCTCAGAGGAGGCACAGAATGGGTTAATTGTTAAAAGAGATCGAACATTTTTTAAAACTGTGGGCCAGCCAGCTGCTTCTACTTACAACCAGAGAAACAGGGCCATGCCTGAGATGTACAAATTTCTCTGGGCCCGGAATAGTTTCATGTGATGGAACGTTTCCGCAGCCTGGCCATGTTTCACGTCTGCTACCTCCAAAGGATCGGAGTATTTCTTTACTTCACGAATAGATTCTGTGTGCAGGATAGATACAAGGCACAGAGAACACTAATTAAGCCCTACATGCGTGAGCACTCATGGCAATGGTCTGCAACGAAGAAAGGGCAATAAAACAAAAGAGAAAGAGCAATAAAAATAAAGATTGACAGACAAAGGACCAGGACAAAGAGGAGAGAAAGGGTTTTGACAGAGTTGTAAGAAAAAAAATTGTTTTGAAAGATGCACGAGTAGGAAATGCTAAAATAAATTACAAGGAAAAACAAATAACTACAAGTCCAAAACTGAGTAAACAGTAATTCTAACTTCCCTGGTGGAAGTTCGTAAAGATTTGTTCAGTAAAAAATAACAGCACTACCTTTTGAGAACAACAACATATAGATCTATATCAAATACACCATGTACTGAGGCTTTGTTAGCCTGAGCTGCTCAAAGTTAACAAGTCTGTTTTCCTGGATGTTTAGTTTCTACTCTCACTATAACACATATTGAAAACTTGACAATGGGAAAAATCTTACCTGCAAACAGAAGGAGAAGAATGGCTATGAAAATGTAGAAGTATATTTTAGAATATACTGCAAACATTGAGGCTAGTCTTGACCGGAAGACCTTTTGCCATCTGCAGAAACAAAACAAAAATTCAAACTGATGCACTTCAAAATCTGCAGTAAATCAGAAGGTCTTAAAAACAACAACAACAGATGCTCAGACTTTTGAATAACAAGCAATAACAGGACATGTCTCTACATGTTTTAATTTTCAGTAACTTATTGTAAAGCCTTATTTTGTCATGACAGCTACATACCTTTCAACCTAACAATATTTTCAGGTAAAATCAGAGACCATAAAAATAGACTATCTAATTTTAAATAAAATGAGTATTTAAGAATTTGTCCAATCTTCTTGCAATATCTAAGAAATTATCATGTCTAAACATGTCCTAGCGACTGACTCACTGCAGCAGGTGCAAGATAATAATATCAGGTCTCAGATTGCACTTGATGTCATGTGATGACTGGCACTGGTAATCCACAACTGCACTCAACATGGACAACAAAAACACACCAGCGTATAAGAAAAACAAAAAACATAACAAAACACAAAAAAATGTATGGCTGGGAGCATTGGGAGAACAAGACCCGGAGAAAATGTCTGGACTACTTCGTGTCAATAGATCCCGCAGCCAGCGATGATGTGCAGTAACATCGGCACCACAAACACCAGGACTCATGGGTGTCTGCAGCAACCCGTCACGACATAATGACACACACACACACGTACAGATGCAGAAAGAGCACCAGTCACCATCGGACCTTTTACCTCTCATCACTGACCTTTAACAAAATAGTTACAAATTCTTCAATGCACCTTGCCCCAAGTGAACACTTCTGGTTATCAACAAAAGAAAATACTTCAGGACTCCTTTTGCACAAAGTAATGACACAGCTCTTCCAAGTAATAAAATCGCTAATTTTGACACAAGCAGAAAGAAAGCAAGTTCTGCTGTAGCAACATGACATTTAAGAATTTATCAACACCATAGAAAACTGAATCTCCCCTCGACGCTTAACGGAAACAGAGGATGAAAAAGTAAAAGTAAAGTATCAACACAATAATAGAGACCTCCTATTAATAATTAATCATATTCTTAAACATTATTAACAATTAACTTTTACCCAGGATAAATCAGTTCATCAATCCCTTGGTTTCAAAATGTAACCATCTCTTACAACACAATACAAAGGAATATTTTCGACATACGTTTTCGGAGAGATGAAGGGCAACAGCAGCACACTGACAAGGAAGATTTCAACATATAGCACTGTGGCAACAAATGTCCACTGTAGAGTCATGATGTCAAGCTCGTGTGATCACTCTTGGAGTCTGAAATCAGAAAAATAAGTTTTTCAGACAGAATCAATGAATTAGTGACAGTGCAAAATGACTGGCTGGTCCCGCAATCTACAAGGAAAGTCAGTAAGGAAAGAATCTTATTTTGTATCAAGAACGAAAAACAATTTTAGAGCAATGAGGCAGAGGCAGTTTCTTCAAAACTCAGTTCCGACCAAAAGAATTCAAAATGCTGACAGGTCTAATTTCTCCTCTTTCCTTTCTGACAGTATGTCAGTGTGAAAAGCCACCAGAAACCTCAATAAGCTCTTTCACACATCTGTCTCTAGGTCAAAAGTAAAAGACAGGCGACAAGAAGATGATAGAAGACAAGAAGATAGAAAACCAGTTCTGTGTCCAGTAGCAGGACGGAACAGATGCTTAGCAAAGCAGACTAAAGTATTTTTAAAAATCAACCAACTTTTTTAAAATCTTGGCTGAAAAAAAGCCTATATAAATATTATAGACCTACATGATAGGATCGTGAACAATTTGCCCCAACCCTTGACTAAATTCACACTGGCAATTAAAAATTTATAAATATAAAATTGATACTCTAAACTAGGCATAACCCCTTCATTGCGTTTTGACATACCTTGTGCGTCATGAAAATGCATTTTTTGAGAGAAGATGCACAATGACCGGCTGACCTTGAGACACACAACTTCACCATTGACGATCAATAAAAACATTTTTAACACAAAAATTCAGCCTACATGATGACAATATTATATCATAGTTTTACCAATCAAACTGACCTAACTAAAAGTTGACTTCTAAGTACATGATGACAATATTATATCATAGTTTTACCATTCAAACTAACCTAACTAAAAGTTGACTTCTAAGCTTAAAATTCCCTTCTGTAGTAATTACTGCCCATCGAACCAACCGTGGGGGGTTTCAGGGCGGCATTCCTCCCTGTAACCGGTGTGACTATTCTGACAAGTACACAACCCTGTGGAGCCTCAGCACTGGCCCCCCTTGAGTCATTTCCGGTAAAGATTAGTTTTCAGCACCCTCCAACACTGATTGCACATTTCCCGATCACAGCAATTTTATGCAAACTGCAAAGATGCATTGAATTGGTCCAAAAAGAAAGAGAAGCATGTCATTCTCAAAAAGAAAAAGACTCACAATGTACGGTACTCGCATTCATGCTAGAGTAGAAGCACACACGTGTCCGAATATAGATTCTACACACCCCCCCCCCCCCCACCCACCCACCCCCAATTCCTCTATTTTCGTCAAAATTTGATGTATTGCGATCAGGTTCGAAATCTAGATCTAGATTTTAGATCTAGGGCCTACTTGAAAATGATTTGTGAAGTTTTCTTTTAGTTTAGTGGTCAAATAATGAAATATAGACCTAGATGTAGATCTATAGAACTAGATCTAGAACCTAGAATCTAGATTTAGATCTAGGGAAGGGTGGGGCAATTTCGACAGGTTTGAGTAGTTGAGTAGTGGGCAAAAGTAACCGATACTGCTTTATGAAAGCCTTTGTGAAAGAACACAGACTATCTTGGTATCGTTGTGTCAAGCAGCCATTCTACTTTTCAATTAACATGTTCTTTACTCTATTTGCATTTCGAATTTTCAACCAATGACGATTTTGTGGCATACCCTTGCTTGGGGCAACTTCAACAGGGGGTGGTGCAAATTTGACCCCTCGCATGGGGTAACTTCCACATACAGACTGAAAGAGTTTAAGAATACTGACTCACAGGGGCTGTGGGCAACTTCAACAGGGGGCGGATATCTTCAACAGTACTGGGTTCTTATTGGGGCCCCCCCCCCCCCCCCCCCCCTCTCTCTCAACTCCTCTAGAGTACTGAATTCTCGGTCTATCTCTCTCCTCCCCCTTCTCTTCCCCCCCCCCCCTCTCCCAAACGAAGACACGCACTCACATCAAAGGCCTAATACGTGCACACACGCACACAAACTTTCTCTCTCTCTCTCTCTCTCTCTCTCTGTCTCGCACACTCACACACACACACTTAGCTCTGAAAATGCGATAGTTGAGCAGTCTAGATCTCGTCTAAGTCGAAATTTCAGCTAGTTTGTATCTGAGCGGTCAAGGAATTTCGATGATGAAAATGATAAAAACAAACAATTAAGATTAACTCATTCGCTACGCCGTGCCCCAACTCATTCGCTACGCCGCGCCCCGGCTAAAGTGCCATCAGCACGCTAAGCCGCCCCCGGCGGCTCGAGAACCGATCTTCAATTTTAGCTTAGATTCTAGTCCAACCCACATATCCATGTTAAAATAAAGGTCATAATATAATGTTGACTTGTGGGTCAAGCATTTCCACTGAAAATCGGAAATTTAGATTCAGTTTTGAAACGCGATTTCGTAGTTTATTCGACTTTGTTTTATCGCGATGCCAAAATTATAGCACGGACACCAGTCTTAGTAATTATCCACAACAAAATCTATCATTATTTTGCCCCCTAAAGAAATGTAGGACTCTTTTTTATAATATTGATATGATTGGATTGGACTCATATTGCCAATGCACTGTTATTGAGAAATCAACATTTTTGAGTGTTAGATCTTGATCTAGGTCTAGATCTAAATTGTCAAAATATTTTTTTTCACCCCAAAATCACTACTTTTTGATGAAATTACACAAAAAGTGCAACTCAAGACATGTATAGGTTTATTCCAAATGCAATTCTGAATAATTCCATACAAGTGGGGATTTTTCTGTTTGCGATCGTTTCTCAAGATTATAATTTTTTAATTTTTTTTCAATATCGGATGTTATCTTCAAAATGTACAAATATTATGGAATGTAGGTAAATAACTGCAAACTTTTCAATATTTTCCAGTTCTATATTCATTTATGGTTATTTTGATGTATCATTAATTGACTAGGTGCAAACATATTTTCTGAGTTTCACCAAAGATTATTTTTTAAAATTTTCAAATTTTATCCGCATCCAATCAAAATTGTGTTGCATAATCGTCTCTTACATGAACCAAAGTCGAAAAATACATATATAAACATTACAGATGTATTCTACAAACCATACTGAAAATATTGGTATATAATATGTTGATATTTATTTGAATTTGTGGCCCCAAAGACATTTTAACTGCCCACTAGTCATCATCTCATTCGCCCTCCCGAAAAAAAATTCGTCCACAAGCCGAAAATAATACGTAGCGAATGAGTTAATGAAATGTGATAGTTTGTTGAAGGTAATTCTGCTTATGAAGCAATTGGTTGAAATTGGCCCACCCCCCTTTCGAAGTTGCCACCAAAATCTCACTCAATCATTTTTTTAAAAATAAATCATGTAAATTTATATATAATTAACATTTCCAATTCTAGTTGGATTTAAATGAACCTAAGGATACCAAAGTTTGGTCAAATAACTGATAAATATTTTGAAGCAAGAAAGCAAGTTAAGTGTGTATATGAAAGCAAAGGAAGTGGCTAATATCTTCACCCCGGGTAAGAATACAAATACGATCGACCTTTCACCCCGGGTGAAACTTGCCAGCGTTGCCTATTCTCACCCAGTGTGAAATAAGACCTGTTTTTCCAAATTTAAGAATACTGTCTATCGGTCAGCGCTTCCACCAGCTTAGCTGAAAAATAAGGAAAATTCAGCCGGGGATCTGGGGGCCTGGGTCCAGGGACAGAGTCCCGGTGGGGGTTTGGGGGGGGGGGGGGAAAGCCCCCGAAGAAATTGAAATTTAGTGCTTTTAGAGGGTTCAAAATGGCATTTGGGAACCTGTTTGAAGAGATTGCCTACAACCCATAACATTTATTTGTTCACCAACATTTTGTCTTGTTTGATTTTTTTCACCTACATGATACCTTTACATTGCAGGCAATGTTTAAAAGCAGGTTCCCCTTCCATTGCTACTATAATTCAATTCATTTATCATTGCACAATTGATAGAAGGCAAACCTGAGAATAATTTATAATGAATAGAAATAGATATGCACCTTCACAATACATTTACCCAGCGTATACCCTAATTTTCCACAACTTTCACTTCTAAATGTTGCAGGTCACAGCCTCGGAACACCACTTCCAATTATTTTTTATTATAGTAGTTTTAGCAATTTATTTCATGGCGGCCCTTATCGCGTTCGCGTGCCGTATAATCTTCGCATTGATAATTTATCTAGATCTAGACAGACAATAAATTTGCAAACAAGTTTCTTTCTGATAGTAATTTTCTGTCTTAGACCACAAGTCAATATATATATAATATACTTGATCAACTCGCATATTTTCCAAGCTGCAGCAACAGTCCAAAGACAAACAGGCGGAATGAGTGAATGATAGAAAGGAGGAAATTGGCACAAAAAGTTCACCAGATTTTGATCAATCTGCAGGTAAAAATGTACTGCCAACCAACCCGCAATGAACGCATGGGACATAGCCGAATAATGGCTGATTGCAGGAAATGCACAATTTGGCAGGTTTCTATAACACATTACCTTATTGCTGAGAGAATTACCGTAAATATATCTAAAGCTTACAAGACGATACGAAGGCGAGTACAGATCTTTTGCTACAGAATTTCAGTAGATAGGCTACATAGTCCTATGCTGTCGCAGCTTTTTTACTGAGGGAGTTGATAATGATGGAGGAACAAGTACGGAACTGGCAGGAAGTATGGATTCCGTAAAAATACGGAAGAGTGGAAGCACTGATAGGTGTGGATGATCAAATTGACAATTTAAAAGCAAAAGAAAAAAACATGTTATAGCACATATAAGCTAATTTGGTCGTCTACAAAAGATGCTATGGCTATTTCACTTTTTGAATCAAACCGAACTATGTGGGTCGCCGTTTTGTTTTGCCCAGAAGTTCTCGCAAGATCTACTCCTCCCCTCTCTCTCTCTCTCCTTCTGAATACTGTCTCTGTGAGGATGATCGCCATTTCGTTTTGCCCGGAAGTTCTCGCGCTGCTCCTTTCTCCCCCCCCCCTCTATTTCTTCCTCACTGCCTGCAAACAAAAT